TGTTTTTCATGGAAGAATAGCCAGTCTCTGAGGGAGTATTGAAGTAATTGCTGTAGAACTATATAATTAATTCAAACTTCATAGAAAACTATTTAGAAATGGATATTAAAAAAACCTTTTAGAAATGTGAACATTTTTTGAATTAGTCATATGCCTTCCTATATATTTGGCTAAAATTCAGATAATATTAAGATGTTCATTGCCATACTTTGAATTTGAATATTAAATGTTCTGTAGGAATTTACATTGACTCTCGTAGCATGCATTATACTTTTTGTAAATGCTCTTTTTAATATTTTTTTTATTTGAGAAAGAGCATGCAAGCAGGGGACAGGCAAAGGGAGTGAGAGAGAGAATCCAAAGTAGGCTCCACACTCAGCACAGAGCCCAATGTAGGGCTCGATCCCATGACCCTGGGATCATGAACTGAGCTGCAATCAAGAGTCGGACACTCAACCAACTGAGCCACCCGGGCGCCCCCAACAGTGCTTTGTAAAACTTAATGTTTTAGTCAAAATTATTTGAAATAACCAGTAAACCCATAACTTGTTTTTATCTGATTCATAAGGTACAAGGTCCTGTGACTTATTGACTATTTTAAGTTTTTCTGATTATTCCCTCTCTTCTTCCTTCTTATTTTGGTCTTTTGTGTTATCTTCTTACAGTTTCTCTTTTTGTGTCTGTTTGCTAGATTTCGTTCTGACTTCAGTGTTTTCATTTTTTAAACTGTACTGTTTTTAATTTTAAAATGTTCTTCAGATTCTGTCATAGGTTGAGAACTTCTTTTCTGTTATGTTTTTTTCCTGTTTGTAGATATATAGTCAAAGTTATACTTCTTTGTTACTTTTGTGCTGGATTAATAGCAGCATGTTAGGAACTGTTCTGTCCATACCTTTACGTATATTATACAGTGAATTTTTTTTAAGGATATTTAAAAACTTGTTTCAATTTTTAATTGCTTTTGTGATCAGGGAATTTTTTATTTAACCAAAATTTCCTGCATTTTGAAGACATTTGTTATTAGAAAATAAATTCTTGACAAAACTGATTTTAGTGTTTAATATGTTTTGTGAGTGAAGGTGCATTTATTGAAGGGAATAATGGAGAGGTGGTCACTGTTGAGAAGCAGAGAATAATTAACACCTTTGTGTTGTTATGGATTGCTGGCAGGAGCCACATTTGTTTATTATTAAATTTTTAACTATCTATTTTCATACATATTTTTAAAACAAAAAATTTTTAGACTTTTTTTGGTCATGGATTTCAGAGTTGTATCTTGTAAATACAACTGTATCTTTTAAATACGGTGTCTAATTTATCGATTTTCTTAACATTGTATATAATAAAGGATTAAACGGGTTTTTTGTGGGTCACGGAAATAATTAAATCACATTACTATTTCTTCTAGCTGCTTCCTGGTTTTTGTTGTTGGTTGACTGCAGTGTGTTTTATAGACTGTTTGAAAAATGAGAAAGACTGATTGAAATGGTTTTGGACTGGGAACATGGTAACCTTGTTGGTTTCAGCATTCTACTGATTGTGTGACATTTAATTTTTTTCTACCATTTCCCCCATCTGTGAACATAAGTTCTTATTTTGCCTGGAATTTGTGATGATGAACTTCTTTCTTTAGCTTCTTAGACAAAAATTAATATAAATGTAGGGTACTTTTCAATAAGTTCCCCAAAGGCTGAATGACCCTCTGCCTGCTGTTAAAGGGAGTCCTGCATTGGGAGGAAAATTAGATTATTAGCAGCAGTTGCTACCATTTACTGAGCACTTACTATGTGCCATATCTTATCTCATTTAATCTTCACTTCAACTCTATGAGGTAGGTAGTGTTACTTCCATCTTACAGGAAAGGAACAATGGCCCGGCTCTCCCATAGGTAAGTGGCAGAACCAGGATTCAAACCTAGATTTTTTTTTCTGACTCCAAAGCTGGGCTTATGTTGCATTCCCTACTGTAATGTGCCTATTGATCTAAAGTTTCACATTTTTCTAAGAAATTTATATTATTAACTTTCAGCATTTAAAATATATGTAAGTTTTCTGTTGTCTGTTAATTATAGTTCTTGCTGTGTCATGGTACATTTCTTACACATTTTCTTTGCCCTTATAAATAGCATTTCTATCCATTCACGTTCCTTTATTGTGTGTTAATACATTTTTAGCACTGACATATTTCATGAAGCATGCTCTCAGAGTTTAAAAATACATACCATTAGGAACTAGTTTTATAAGAAATCATACATTTGTATTTTTGACGTTTTGAGGCAGTCATTTTAATATCTGTTTGCGTAGCTAATTAATGCTTATTTTACATGGATGTTTTGAAGGTTATAAACTCTTAAGTTTAATAAAACTACTTTCCTATTCCTGTAGAGTATCGTTAGTACTAACTTTCTTCATGTTCTCTCACACATAGAGAAAAGGGTAATATTTATTATGTCACACTGGTAAATGGGTCACCCTACTGCTCTTGGTCTCCAGTACTTGACTCAGGGAGCCATGCCCCTCTCTACCTTCATGCTGTGCCTCCCTCCCTCAGCCTCCTGCTATTGTGAGGGCTGATATCTTGGCATATCTGTAATTTCTGTGGGTATGTAAATTTTGTGAGAAAGTGGACGAAAATGTCTCTTTGGAGTTATGTATTTAGTAAACATAATTTTATATTTAGTAAACATAAATTTCTGGGAAAAGTAAAATTTTTAAGAGGTCCTTCTAAAAGGTCCACATTGTGGATCATTCTGAGACATGTATTCATATTTTCCGATCTCTTATATTTGAAGCTTTTGGAAACTACTCTTTTATTTGTACATTGATAAGAGAAAATCATGATTTTAAGTATTTTATATAAGCCTTTTATCTTCTGTCACCAACTAAAGCTTTATTATATGTTACACATTTTTTTTATTTTTTTTTTTTTTTTTTTTTTTGTAATTTGGAAATGAGCCTTTTAAGGTGCTTAAAATATTTCCAGTTAGTTGGCAACAGTAATGATGATTGTATCTAACAAAAGAACTTGATCAGGCATAAAATGCGTATTCTTTTAGTTTGATTGGTTAGATGGTGTACCCTCTGGATTTGAGAAGGAATATTTATAAGGTTTGAGGCTTTTTAAAAAAATTTTTTTTCTATATTTAGATACTATTTTCTGAGTAGTGTGTTACTCAGCCCTACCTCAGGAGAGTGATGTATATCATTAGTTTAAAACTATTGTATGAAAGTTTTTGTGAATTTTTGAATAATTTGAACACCTCAGAATTTTGACATGAAAATAGCATGAAATGTGCATTGTAAATTCTCTATGTAAGTATTGCTACTTCTGATTTCCCTAAGTAGTCGATATCAGCACACTTCTTCACTGGATACCAGAGTGGCCTGATAGTTCCCTGTCTGGTGACTCTTTACCCTCTTCCTTTTCTGTAAACCTCAACCATTTCAGCAGGACATCAAAGAAAGTTGCTTCTGCCCCAGAGTGCCTCTCTTTTATAGTCCCACTTCTGCTGTTCTGGCTTAGTAACTTATGTCTCCATACATTTTTGCTGTTGGAATTATCATCCTAGGGCACAGTTTGATCAAGTCACTTCCTTGTTTAATATTTTTTCTCTTTGTTGCCATAGGTGGTAGTCATCTGGCCCCAGCATATTCTTTTATTTTCCATTCTTCTGTGTATGCCCAAATGCGCATAGGCGTATAAGCCCCACCTCCCTTCACTAATTACATGTTATGAAATCACTGGTGTTTTTTATTTTGTTTGTATTCTAATCCTGTCACTAACTTTCATCATACTTTTACTCACTGCGTATTCTCAGCCTGGAAGATCCTTCATCTGTACCCACATCAGATGTTACTGCTCTATAAAATATTCCTGTTACCTCACCCTCATTTAGAGTTATCTTCCTCTGGTGATACTTCAGAGCATTTACTGCATTGTACCTTAGAGTATAATTAGGTGTGTAATTCATTCGCTTCTACTAGAGTGTAACTCTTAAGATGATATGGCCCAAGGTTTATATAGTTAAATTATTTTGGTGGTTGCTTAATATAAGAGAATACACAAACATACACTTAAGTGTACACATTTTTATTTACTCATTTTATCTACTTTGTGTATAACACTGCCACATGCAGTGCCCAGTCTCTGTGAGGAAATAAAAAATGAATATATATAACATGTTCCATGAATATATAACATGCCTTCAAAGAATTTATATTCTACTAGGAAAAAAAGACACTGATGCAATAAATTGAAAGACGTTGATAAGTGCCAAAGTCACATCACTCACTCACCGTATACATTATATACTATGTCTATATGTAGTATATGTAGTATATGCATATGTATATGTAAGTATTTTGTATATGTAACTTACAAGTTACATATACTTACAAGTATATGTAAGTAATTTTGACTTGTCCTTTGGTATTGGGCCCTCTGCCCACTTACTATATGATTGTATGCATGTTTGTTACATTTTTCTACCCATTTGATACACATCAACTATTTGCAAATATAAATGTTAGGAAATATTCTTACAAAATATAAAACTTTCCTACTTAGGTAATTTTACTTTCAACTTTTAATAAACTGAATTTAGAATTTAGCTTAGTATATTATCTAAGAATCAAGTAATTTCACTGACACATGTATAGAGGCTGACTTTTTGAGATGCTGCCTTCATGGTTTTGTTAGCCTAGTTTTTTGTTTTTGTTTTAAGTGAAATAATGATGCTGCTGTAGTTTTATTTGGAGTAACTTGAAACAAAACTTGTAGTAATCAGAAATTAGTTTTATAGGTACATTTTGATTTCATCCAATTGTGATATTTTCTCTAGAAACATGGAATTCATTATGTAATACTTGTTTTGTGATGTTTTGAAGAATGAGAAATGTGTGTTGACTCTTCCATTATGATATATTGTACAGATTTGTAAAGTGTAAATGCATTGCTCTGTGTACTTTCTTTACGCTCTAATATAATTAATTTGTTTCTAGATGCTGGCATCACCATCTACGTCAGGTCAGCTGTCTCAGTTTGGGGCAAGTTTATACGGGCAACAAAGTAAGAATTTTGTATTTATTCTGGGATACTTGATTTAACACAAAAATAACTACCAAGTAAAGAACAATCAGTGCTGCCCTTGTGGGTCAGTTCTAGGATTTGAAAGAAAAGATTTTTAATTTTCGATTTTCCTTATTTCACTCACATAGCAAAACTTATTATTTCAGACCTAATTCAAAATTTGTTGTTATCTGGATATAGGATAGATTGAAATTTATTTTTACATCTTTTGTATCTGTACATTCCTTTGTTAGTACAGTGTTTTTTGAAGAAAAATTTGCTGAGCAAATAAATAATAGACATTCTCTGTGTTTTCAGTTAGAGGAAGTTAAAACATTTTTTGTTTGGTCAGTTGAGTGGATTGTTTTGTTTGTGTTTTTTGGCTTTTTTATTAATGAAAGACCATAACAATTTGTGAAATGTTCTCTTTGTTTAGCACGTATTTCTTCTTTCACTTTAGCTCAGTCTGGATATAGAACATATGTTTTTGACTCACAGTTCAATGCTTTTTCCAAATATAAGATTGAATTTCTTTTTAAGTACGGTAATGCTTTTATACCGCTTAGCACAGTGCCTGGCGCATAGTAAGCGCTCAATAAATGTTAGCTATGATTATCACATAAAATTTTTATAAAACTAAGTAATAAAATCTTCCAATTTTTTTCAAATTAATTGTCCACACTGTTAAATATTAATAAGATTTTATTATCTCTAATTTTCTAAGATTTTATTATCTGATTAATGTCAGAGACTGATGTCTCATCTCTGTTAATAGAAGGGGAGTGTTAAAAGGGATATAAATTCCCACCAAAGATTACAGAAATAAAGTAACTGGAGGAGACAGTATGCTCACTGAGGATCTTAAGCAGCTTCAAATAAAAATCAGTTATTTGATTTGGGACCCTTTCCCAGTATAATAAGCAAAATTTTGATAGGTATCAGAATAGTTCGTCAGACCACTTTATTGTTCAAATTTATTTTGAAGGTTAGCAGAAGGAGGAACTTATTTTGTTAGACAAATATAGCTTCCATCTACTTTATTCTTCCTTCCTCTTTTGCTGTGGGGTGCAATTTTGTTAATACAGAATTAGTAAATAAAATTATTAATTGCATATAGATATTAGCACTTTTCCTGTAGTCATGTAGAAAATATTTTTTAAAAAGCTTTACATTGCATAAAAGAGGTGTTGCTTACTTATCCACAAATGTTCATTCTAATTGTTGAGGGGATGTTATTAGCTAGTAACTTGTTTCATTTAGCCTGTGTTTTAGTATGAAACCTACTACTTTCACTGTTCTGGCAGTCTTTACCATGAAAATATCTAGTTATTTTAAAGCTACCCTTATCTCTATAGAGTAACTGCAAAGAACTTACTTTGTTTTCTTTTTAAAGCCCACAATTTATCACAGCAGAAAGTAGATATGGAATGGAGAAAAATGATACTTGAGAAGCTAAGGTTATTTATGAAGGAGAATGGCAATTATTTTACAGTATAATCAGCTATATGGACTTCTAAAATCTGCTGTAATTTTTTACCCTGCAAATGTGAAATTGTAATTGGGTTAAGATATGGAATGGGTTAATGTTTGAAATACAGTTTTTTATTGGTATCAGACACTTAATTAACTTCTTTATGTGTGTAAAATGGTTGTGTTAATTATTAAGAGTATACAAAGATTAATGAATGAACAAAGTTGTTTTCATTAGATAAAGTATTTTGTACTTGGTCATTTAAAGAGAAATCACATATGACAGATATTTCCTGTTGGAATTTAGTGTAGTAAATGGCTGTATTCCTCCTGTAGCATTGGCGAACCAGCATTTTCAATGCATGACTCAGTCTTTTAACTAAGACATTGTAGGTATTAGTCTACAGAAAAATTGACCCTTAGGTCAACTGGAACTGAAATGTCTCAAGTCAGGGTACAGTTATTCCTTTCCAGGGTACAGATCTGGAAGGTACAGCTAGTGAAAAAAAGACAGGGGCTGGATTCCCAGTCTCTGTTCATTAGGATAGACCCGAAAGGGCCAAATATGTCATTTAGCTGCTAAGTAGTCTGAACACACACCTTGTCAGAGAGAACACCAGCTACCCTGTGGGACTTGAGGCTCTGGGTTTCAGTAGTATAAATTAGTCAGAATGTTAATACTTGAGAAGCTAACCTCAACAAAGGATAGTGAGATAGAAGGAATAGTAGGTGGGATAGATTAGTGACATTCTTCTTATGGTAACTAATTCTAATTGTGCATTAGGCTTGATATAACTTGCCTCCAAAGTGTATTAAATACTACCATTCACTCTGTATTCAGATTGGCAAAGTTCAGCAGGAATTTGTACCATTAAAATGGAGGTCTACCATCTGTTTTGTGTTCTTTTTTTAATTTTTATTTCTTTAACATTTATTCATTTCTGACAGAGACAGAGCGTGAGTAGGGGAAGAGCAGAGAGAGAGGGAGATGCAGAATCTGAAGCAGGCTCCAGACTCTGGGCTGTCAGCAGAAAGCCCGATGTGGGGCTTGAACTCATGAGCCATGAGATCATGACCTGAGCTGAAGTCGGACATTTATTTAACTGACTGAGCTACCCAGGCACCCCGTGTTTTGTGTTCTTGATGATTACAGAGGTTAGAGGTGGAGAAGGAAGAGTAGCCTCCAAAACTGACACTCACAGAGATTAAACAAGGGAGGACGTTCCTCTTGGAATGGATACGGGCCTGGTGAAGCCTACATTTTGCCTGATCTGTGTGGAAGTAATTGTGTAGTACATAAGGGTACCTAGAAGATGCTGGACTAGGGGCTTGTATGATCATAGGTTCCAGTATAGTCTGACTGTATCCAAATATGTAACTTACTTTTCATCTACGAGTTCATGTGAATACTGTGCATTAAATGATAGCTATAGAAGCTATTGAATGGAATCTTGTGTTCAAGTTGCATAATGTTCTCTACTTGTCATCTTTGCGTGTGTAAGATTTTGGGTATGCCTTATAGGTTTAAAGACCCCCTTGGGCTTCCCAAAGCTACCAACTAGTTTGGAATTAACAAGGAACCAGGAATTAATCTCTCCGCAATATTCAGCGCATTGAAATTAAATGGTAGTAAAATTGGAGTGACTTCTTCTTTCTTACCAAAAAGATTTAGAACTTTGGAGAATTGGACAGAAGGGAAACTACTATTTACTGAGTGCTTCCTATATTATAGGCACATAGGTTAACTAACTCTCAGGATGAATCCATGATAAATATTTGTATCTGAATTCTCTGAGGACCTGGGTCATTTGCTGGGGAAAGAAATAAATTTGTCTTTCTGGGATCTGGACTCCTGACTTGAGAGCAGTTGGCACATTCTCATGCTTTGAACAATATCCTCCTGTTTTAAGAACACCTAGATGAAGGCTGTTTTGTTTTGTGGAGAACCAGAGCACAGGTGGGTGATTGAGAAGTGGTGCTGTTGACAGTGTATTTAGGCAGATGACACATTTCAGAAAATTATAGGACCATTTAACAGATACTTGAATTAATACTAAATGCTCTGGGAGTTCTTGTTCTCAAGAACATGTTATAGTTGGGGAGGTCAAGACATTTATATGTAAAATGTTACATAACAGCCTACAATGCTAATACATAGGTTAAAAAGTATTGTGTTGAATGGTATGGACAGATTTAGGGTTTAGAGAGAAAAAAGTACAGTAAGCTTCAAAAAGAAGATAGGAATTGAGTTTAATTGGAACTTACTGAGTGCCTACCATAAAATGAATGGCATAATGTTGCCTAGTGCAGATATGTGGTAGAAGAGGTCATTCTGCTGTATATACACTGTATGTACAGTGTACCTACTGCTGTGATGTTACTGCCTTTATTTATTACATGTCTTTACTGCCTTTGTATCCTCTGTATTCTGTACATCTCAGGCACTCAGTAAATGTTTATAGAATGCATGTTGAGCAAGCTGTAGTTAATCTGGTAGATAAGTACACAAGGTATTTTATTACAAAGCAGAGGAGGAAGGACCGAGTTTTCTGGCTGTTTCAGAGGTGGGAGTAATCACGTATCTTGGGAGAATGATCAGGAAAGCATTTACAAATGAAGTCATGTTTAACATTGGCCTTAAACAGACTGTGGGGTAAGGTTGTTCTAGTGGTGGGAGCAACACCTACAGCATGGGGTAATTTGGGGGCAGTCTAGTTTATCAAGGCAAGGGAAACCTCTTAGGCTATTACATTGGTTTCATTCAAGAAGTATGATCTTTATAGTTCTGTGGGATATATCTCAAGATCTTTACCATTTTTCAAGGTCAAGAACACAAGCATACAGTTTTCCTGCAGAAAACAACGATTTTGTGAAAACCATTACTTCATTAGACTGTAAGTTTATTTTCACCTTTAGGACCACCTGTTGACTTTTTTTTTTTTTTTTTTTTTGCATAGGTGTGTTTCACATCCCACCTCACCCACCCCCAGAAAGTTAATACTTACTGCATATTTACTATGTGTATGGTGCTATTTTAAGTACTTTATAGGAATTAACTCATTTCATCTTCACAACTGTCCCAAGAGAGGTTAAGGGATTTGCCCAAGGTTTTACAGGCAGTAAGTACTAGAGCCAGGATTCTATTACTTAGTAAGTGTAACTGTGTGAACATCAGTTGAGAACAGAAGTTTCTTTGAATCCTGGACGTTACATATTACTTACTGAATGTCATGACCCTAGATAGTGGGCTGTTAGCACATAATAGAAACAACAAATGTTAAATCCACAGATTTAAAGAGTTTTCTGACCAGGGCATGGTAGTACTATTTAGTTGGCTACTTCTACCATGGGTGAAATATTATTCCAGGATGTAAGAGTATGGCAAATAATAAAGATCTTGTTTTCATGGAGCTTATATTTTAATGGGGAAAAAATAATTGTGCAGAAAACTAGGAAATAATATGATTCTGGTAGTAAGCACTATAATAATTAAGTCAGGTTAAGGGATGAGTGGATGGAATTAGTATTTC